TATAAGTTGTTACTTTTTCTCACGTCAGTCGGTTGTGTGCCATGCGTGATACACGCTTAGGTGATCATGTATCTTTCGATACATGACTGACGAAGCAGATTTTTTCCCGCAGTAGGTTGCCATTTCTTTCTGCGGTAGACCAGTTGCCATCCAAGGCTATAGAACCCGGTCTGTCCTGCTATTTACCCATAGCTGGGGGAGGGGAGAAGAAGATGATTCGTATTTTTCCCAAGAGTATTATCACTGATTTGACTGGAATTCTAACTCGGCATATATATATAAGGAATTAGTCAGTTGTGTGCTTAGGCGATCATTCTGGCCAGTACAAAATGGCCGCAAACTACATGAAAACTGCCGCAGAAGCATGAAATAATCGATTATTTCCACTATCGATGGGAGTTGGGAAATGCAAAGTCGGTCTTGGTCTTCCCGCTCACTTGGAGCATGTGCATGTAAATTTTATATATATGCAATGTAATTGGCCCTGATCTGGCATCTCGTCTGCAGCCGCTCTCTCACATACATGCCGTTGCCTCTCTCAATCTTTTTTTTTTTTACAAATACTTTCATGGTAATTGCTCCGATGAGCTGCTTTCGCTGGTTCCCAGACTTCAACTAGTCTGGCATTTCGCTCTCACCCTTTCACTGTCGAAACTGTTAAATGTAGCCATCTCTTCTACTTTAATAGCTTCATGTCTCGCACTTCTCGCCTGTGGAACTCCCTCCCTATTTCTTGTTTTCCTGATAGCTATAATCTCCAACTATTCAAATGTAATGTCAATCGACATCTCCAGTTGCCTAGATCTATTCCCTAACCTTCTCTTCATCCTTTCCTCTATCACTCCTCTTTTTTCTCGCTCCAACTCTCGGTAACCCATTGCATGGTAGTGGCTTCCCGCCTTGCTTGGGGTTGAATGCTTAAAAAAAAATATATTTCCTATCACTAAAAATGTAAATTACTAATTGTAGTGATATGTAAATAACTATGCAACAGATCTAATGTAGAGACTATATTTGACATTTAATATGCGGCTCGTGGAAATATATTGGCAGAACTCCTTCTTAATCGCAGTTAATATAAAAGGTAAATAGGAAAAACTTCAAGCTCTATAATTATTTACTGGGTGTGAATAGGGACTCCATTGGATTAAAACGTAAGTTTAATGTTCATGGTTAGTAAAAATATCTAAGAATTTAAATCCTAATTTTAATGCTAGATCTGCGCGAGACTTTGTTCTTTAGCGCTGATGGAAGGAATGGTGAGAGGCAGAAGGATTAAAGAAATTTCTGGTCAGCAAAAGTTAGAGGAATGTCAGAAGACTGAGGTCTAAGAGGATTAATGATTTCGGTTCTCCAGGAGTGAGGGTTGTTTTGATTGTGGCTCTCAAACATCTGAACTTTATCATATGTGGCTCTTACATTAAGCAAATTTCTTCACTCCTGGACTATATAAATTCCCAAGCAGTAAGGGTAGACCAGCTGTTGACATGTAAGTATCGTGTGCTGGCCGGCAGAGGGGTTCGATCTTCTGCCAATAATATTCGCACAAGCCCCAAAGGGCCATCCTCACTAGAGAGTACCTCTCATTCGGCAGGGAGAGGCGATTGAGGCCTCGCCAAAATAGTGAAGAGGCGAGCGCGCTTGTGAATTTTTTGGCGGCATTGCCGTTAAACCCACTTTAAACTGACCTTGTGTCACATTCGTTAGCGACTTGGACTCACTGACAAATTAAGCACTCGATATGTTAGCTATACGATTACCGCTGAACAGATAAAGTATGAAATCATACTTCATAACACTTATTGTTATATGTTTATAATAATTAACATTTTTAATTTAAAATAATGACTTGATAGATAGATAGATAGATAGATAGATAGATAGATAAGAAATAAGTTGCTATAGATAGATAAATTATTATGTTTCTGTCGCAAAATAAACTTCATGTATACGTTGATGTGTTCGGAAATATAATATATTATGTTGCAACCACATTAAACACACGAATTCATTCACTAGCTCAGTTGCTAAATCTACTTTCAAAATCTAGCACGACTCTAACTGTAGAAGTCATAACATAATTTACCTCCTAGAATGCACACTATGCCAGAAACAATATGTGGGAAAATCTGAATGGCCTTTTCACTACAAAATTAATAATTATCGCAATCGAATTAAGTCGACTCCCCATGAAAGGAACCTATAGAACAATATTTCCGCCCAGAAAAAAAAACACGATTTTAAAACCCATACCAAATTCACTATAATTGAGAGAATAGAAAAGTCCAGAGCAGATAACTTTAGAAAGATTTTAGTGTTCCATGAAAATAAGTGGATACAACGTTTAAAAACGCACTATCCAGCCGGGCTTAACCATAAATTTAACAATATAGATAGTATTAATATATAACCCTACAAATCAAAACCTACCCACATTTCTCACCCACACAAGACAGACATGCTTACGGAGGTGTTAGGGCCTCACACTTATACACACACCCACATGAATATACACACTTACACACATCATACTCACTCACTCCCCAATGAGCCAAATGATAACACACGTCCATAGTAATATACACGCTTACACACATCATACTCCCTCCCTTCCTAAGAACCAAATAACACACACACACTTAACAGAGACACAAATGAAAACTACAGAGAAAAGTTCATTTTCTCCATCAAGACATTCATTTCTGTAGTTCACTGCTACCAGCAAGCAGAAATATTTCTTCTCCTGATGATGGCCGTGTTGGCCGAAACTAGTCGAGGAATCTAAATGAAATAATAATAAAAACGAAGGAATATTAATATACAACCCAGTGTGTCTGAAGATTTTAATTTTTAATATTTTTATTGTTCAATATATATATATATATATATATATATATATATATATATATATGTGTGTGTGTGTGTGTGTGTGTACGTATGTTAATAATAATAATAATAATAATAAGCAAAATGAATGATGTAACTCTTCTAGAGGGTCATCCCCCCCCACCCACCAGGCAGTACCTCTCCTTTGGCAGGGAGATGGGTTTATTGCCCGGCGATTGAGGCGTCGCTCAAATAGGGAATCAACTGAACATATAACTTCAACACAACAATCGCCCAAAAGTCTTGGTTTCATGTCCAAAAGACTACTTTCAGTTTTACCATTTTGCTAGAAAATCAGCATTACCAAATACTTATATTTTAACTGGATTCGAAAAATGGCACCTAGAACCAACTGGAAATACGTAATTATCTTAACCAGAAAGTAAGCTACAGACAATCTTTATCGAGCGTTCGCTGAATATAAACGCCACATACAAACCAATTCCGAACTGTTAAAAAAAGAAAAACAAATTACAAAAAAACAAAAAAAAAACGAAGAAAGTTTTTTGCTTCTTTGGTCAGCGCTCAATTTGTAAAGCTTAAAAACATATGTCTAACAAATCGAAAAAAAACAAACACACTCACAAGGAAATGCGTTCACGGCTCTGTAGACCTGCGCATGCGTGCACATAAATGTGAGTGTGTACGCATGCGCACGCATGATTGCGAATGTGTACGCATGCGCGCACATGATTGCGAATGTGTACGCATGCACACGCCTCTGTGTGCAAGCGTGTAGATTAAAGTTTCACGGATTCAGTTCCGTAATTTGAAACTTGGAATATGTCAGATGCACGAACTTAATATTCCCATTACATTGATTGAAATCCACTGCAATCATTTGTTTCTGGTCGTAAACAACTCTCTCTCTCTCTGCCGCTCGTTCTCTCTCTCTATGTACTCTGCCTGTTTAGGACGTGGGCGATCATGGTTCTTCACAACTTCCTGTCATTTGTTACTCTGAATAATTCGTGCTTCTTTACGAACTCTCTTCTTAAACTCCTTATTCTGTTATCCATTTTCTCAAACTCCTCAAATAGATTACTTGCTGTTTTTCACTGCTTCACTTATTTTTTTTATAATAATATTCACCTTTTCAAAGGCCCAAGAGCCACTCGAGGTAGAAGGTTACAGAATTAGATATGAAGGGCACAGTTTATGAGGATATGTATGGAAGATAACAGTTAACACTAGAAATGAACATATTAAGATTGTAGCGATTGGGGAATTATCCTCTTGGGAGTCGGTTCCACAATGTAGCGGTTTGTGGGAAGAAGCTGTCAGAGTGGAACTTACATCTCCCCAATGGAATACAAAGGGAATGAGAGTTGCTCGCTACAATGTGCGTTGCATGGCGGGTGTTAGCTGTGAAGGTTAGATGTGGTAGAACTACGGAATGTAGTTTGTCTGAATACTTTCCATGATTCAATGTACTCTGTGAGTGTTAAACTTGCCAATCCTCCTTTGTTCATTATGTCTCCTCAAAATGTCAACTGTCACCTTCTGATGGTTAGAAAACAGTTTGTCTGTGGTGCTTATTTGCCTTAAAACTTCTGTTGCTCATCTGTTCTTTCCTTTTATACCCAGTCTTTATCCGTAGAACGCTTTTTATCATTTAAAATTTTTTGCCTTGTAAGGATTTTGATATGACCTAACAGGCTAGCACCCTTTCCAATGTTTCTGAGGAAATTTTCTTTAAAAGTTCCTCGTTGTTCACATGTTCTGACTACGGTATTCTCAGTATTTGTCGCTGGAACCACATCTCTTTCGCTTCAAGTCTCTTCATCATCTATGAGAGAATTGTCCAGCATTCATTACCATATAGGGGATTAGACATAAGTTTCATGGATTGATTTGTTATTTACTGTTTATCATCTCTTTGCAGGTTATTTAAAGCCAGAAGATATTTTTAAATTTTAAAGAATTTTTTGGATATATTGATTTGCTACAAGTCCTACTAATTAATCCATAGCTGGGGGAAGAAGAGGCGGATTCATACCGTTTCCAAGGGTATTTATGCATAAGTGAATATAAAGATTTCGACTGGAATTGGAACTCGACACACCGATTTTAAAATCCGAGCCGTTATCCATTACACCACCTGCACATCCAAGCTTACAGTACCTGGTATTCCCAAGCCGCCATCCGTCTAGGTACTGACTAGGCTCGACGTTGCTTAACTTCGGTGATCGTACGAGGACTGGTGTTTCAACATGATATGACCGTAAACGATTAGACATAAACTAGTAAGCCACCATTCTTTCAAACGTTTCTAGGGAAGTTTTATTCTATTGCCCCAAAATTTTCTATCACACACACACACACACACACACACACACACACACACACACACACACACACACACACACACACACATATATATATATATATATATATATATATATATATATATATATATATATATATAGTTAAGTTATGAAGAACTTGGTAAACCGAATTGGTAAATCCAAGGAGGATGAAATCCTGAGAGCTCAATGTGAAGAACAGAGCTAGTATTTAATGAAAAACAGACCACTTTAAGGTACCATTACAATAATTTATTTTACCAAAATCCTTTTAAAAAGAATTTCGATCATCTGGTAACACTTCCAACAATGAAATGAGAGGAAAAATGACATTGTTGGAAGAGTTACTGATGATCCGAAATCCGTTAAAAAGGATTTTGGTGAAATAAATTATTGTACTGGTACCTTAAAGTGGTCTGTTTTTCATTAAATTTAAATATATATATATATATATATATATATATATATATATATATATATATATATATATATATATATATATATATATATATATATATATATATATAAAAGTGTACATACTGAAGCAGAAATGTAAACTACTTATAAAAGTATAAAAGTCCCACACACATACATATCCGTTTACAATAACACATTTCAAAAAAAAAAAAAATATTTCGATTTAATTTTTCGTCTCGGATGCTACCTGAATTTTACCAAAAACAAAAGAATTTCCATGTCTGAGTCATCCTCAGGCATGGAAATTATTATAGAATATACAGTTGAAAGTACTTGCATATTAAAGAAAGACCTTATACTTTCTATATTTTTTTAAAAACTTAGATCATGACATTCATCGAGTGATTTGTAGGTTAATGCACCTTTAAAATTTTCTTTGCAAAAGGATTTCGCCATTTTATATCATTAACTTTACTAATCAACTTTTTTTTATGAATGATCCATTGTAATATATATATATATATATATATATATATATATATATATATATATATATATATATATATATATATATATATATATATAGAAAATAGAAAATAGGAAGAACTCGTTAGGTAAATAATCCAAAATTCTTTAGTATTTTTGTTATTATTTTTAAAAATAGTGCTCGATACAAAAAGTAGAGCATAAATATAATTATTTATTTAAAATATGATTCCAACGCTACATAAGAGTTCTCCTGTTTCAAAACAAGAGCCGAAAACTTCAATATAATTATTTGAATTAAACTGAATTAAAGTACTTTTATTCAAATAATTATATTGAAGTTTTCGGCTCTTCAATATAATTATTTGAATTAAATTGAATTAAAGTACTTTAATTCAAATAATTATATTGAAGTTTTCGGCTCTTCAATATAATTATTTGAATTAAATTGAATTAAAGTACTTTAATTCAAATAATTATATTGAAGTTTTCGGCTCTTGTTTTGAAACATGAGAACTCTTATGTAGCGTTGGAATCATATTTTTAAATAAATAATTATATATATATATATATATATATATATATATAGAGAGAGAGAGGGGAGAGATAGATATAGAGAGAGAAACATACACACAAACATACTTGCACAAAAATAAGATATATAAATATATGTATACAAATACACACAAACACGCATACGTGCATACATACAAATACAATACACCAACACACACATACATATATATATAATGTGTGTGTGTGTGTGCGTGTAAGTAAGTAAATACACAAAGATACATACAGAGACGAATATAAACTGGTCGTCAATAGCAGTATTCCTATTGTTTCTTTTTTTTTTATAAAAATATTCCTATTATTTTTTTTTAATTGTATACTTTTATTGCTGTTGTCAAACCTCTGAAAGCATCTATGGCATTTGGTTTTAAACTCTATTGTTTTGAGTCTTATCGTTGCATATAAAACACGAACATTAATATATACTTTAAAAATTTATTGTCCAACAAGCCCGGCTACTCAGCATTTTGCCGATTGAATTTCAGATTTTTATCACTGACGTTAATTTTAATTTAAGATATTTTTGGAAACTCGTGAGACATTATTCTTTCTAAAAGCGATTTTATGTAAGTGTTTAATTTGATTGTAACTTTCATATTATGTTTTACGTCTCTTTCTACTTCTATCTTGCTTATCCCTTCAAGACGTGGGCGATCATAGCCTCCACATTATCCTATCCTTTGAGGCTCTTTGTAAGGTTTGTCTTTTCACTATATCTTCCAGTCTCTGTTCTGCCATCAACTAGTTTTTTCGCTGCTTTCCTCTGTCCCCCTTGTCTTCAACATCTCCTGCCAGTGTCACATTCTCCAAGCCCTCTTTCCTCAATATGCGCCATAGAAATTTTAGTTGACTTTTTTTTTTTTTTTTTACAAATTTCTTAAAACTTCATGGTTGTTCACATGTTCAGTTCATGGTATTCTCAGCACACTTCCTTAGAAGCACATTGCTGTTGCTCTTCTTCATCTCTGAGGAGATTGACTAGCATTTATTGCCCTACAGGAGTACCGATATTACATAACAGTTCAGCACTTTTTTGTTTTATTCTAAAAAACGTATGATCGGGAGATTAGCGTTTTTGAAGAGCTAAGAATCACTTTTTTATAGTTGTTGTTCCCAGGTCTACCCTAACCTGGAGTTGTAGTACCTCCTAGGGTCCCAACTATGGGCAAATATTGTAAACAAACACAAAACACTATAGAAAGCATAAAAATACAATTTTATAGAATGACCAACAATACAATTTATCAGTAGCTGAAGGCCTAAAATTACATTTAAGGTATATTTACTTGAAACCATAAAAGGTTAATTTGCAGTGTAACACACGCGTTCAGTTCGCATTAAATATTTCCAGAATACTTACATTTATGTGTAATTGTACATGCTTCATTCGAGTCTGGATTGAAAAATTTGATAAAATCTACCATTTTGGAGTTATCGACAGTGAAATTTCGGATTCAATCGCGGGCAGCCATTACGGGTGCTGTTTGCATACATTCGCTGTAGAATAGCTATCAATGTAGATATTATTGCGCAAACTGAGAGTGTCTGCGTAAATAGTTCTCGTGCGCAGTAATTGAGACAAATTTAGACAAGGAAGATCAGTTCCGAGCTTAGCTTTCCATAGCGAATGTATGCAAACAACGTGAATAATGGCTGCCGCCAACGACGCGATTGAATCCCAAATTTCACTGTCGATAACTCTAAAACGGTAGATTTTATCAAATTTATTAAGCCGGATTTAAATGGTAGCATGTATAATTACACATAAATATAAATATTTTGGACATTTTTAATGCGAACTGATCGGGGCTGTTACACTGCAAATTAACCTCATAAAATTATCTTCAAAATATTTAGAATTAAATAACCCATAGAGGTGTCGATATGCCACTAAACCAAATCAACCAACCAGCATGATATTTTTTTTCGAATCGAACGAATTTTTCCGGTTTCTTAATACTTTTCTTAGCTTTTGGAAGGCATCTTTCGCTATTCCAATATGCCTCTTGATTTCACCGACACATCTTCCGTCCTCTGTTAAAATCTTCGTACTTACGTGATTCTGACGTGTCCATTTCGTAGTTCGCATCTTTGGTTTTGTTTCTTTCTCGCTAAAAGCCACACATTCTTTCTTCATATAATTGATGGACAGTGGTGACTTTACGTGTTTTTTTGCTTGTGTTGACACTGGAAAAGAAGAAAGCATATTTTAGTGACATTTTCTCACAAGATGCGCCTTGCGTTAATTAAGTAAAATGTGACATCGTACGTTGGAAGCCATACCATAAATACGTTTATATACTAAAGTTTACTCGGTACAAAGCACGCGAGACACTCAACTTAGAAGGTGACTTGTCCAACTTTTACATAAATGTTGAATTGATAAAAGAGTTGACCAAACAAGTGTAGCATGAAGCATAACAATTAATATTCTGAAGCTGAATAGGTGACCTGTGGAAGTAATTCCAATTCCAGTATTTATCGCGCCGTATTTAAAACAAGAGCAAAATCAGTAGTCGACTTCCTCGCCATAAAAAAGGCTTTTCTTATGCGTTATTGAAATGAGCTAATTCTTCAATGTAATATCGCGATATTGCAATTTTCATCTAGGTTCAAGTAATCAAAATGAACATTTGGTTCCACAAAGGCCGTTTAATTTGATGTGTTTGAAGGCTATCTAGTAACTACTTTTTTTCGTAATAAATCTATTTTTCCTTCTATCCAAATCTCTTTTCCCGAAATGGCATTTTATTTGTGCGTCATCTAATAAAAAGACAGGTGTTTAAAAGAGGAGTGATATTCCCCTTTACAATGTGAAACTCAAGTTTCGAAACATTACCCATAGCTTTTCAACGATGTAATTTAAGTCAACAAAAAATATTCGAAGATTTCTCTAACAGTGAGTAAAATATAACGCCGCGGGCTTCTGCATCAATTATATATATAAAAGTGAACATAGAAGTCAACACTTAAAGGCGACAGTCTGTTTCATGCTAGAGATGCATTCGTCAGGCCACCGATTGCATCTAGCATGAAACAGACTGTCGCCTTTAAGTGTTGACTTCTATGTTCACTTTTATATTTACACACGCTCTCTCTCTCTGATATTGAGCACTTTATCCCATAAATATAGCACATCTTAAGACTCTCTCTCTCTCTCTCTCTATATATATATATATATATATATATATATATATATTGCTTTCTCTCTCTCTATATATATATATGTATATCTCTCTCTCTCTCTCTCTATATATATATATATATATTCATTTATAGTAATTCATCGAGTCTAGAAGAATCCTCAACAGAATTCGTTTCGTCCTATTTGGGACTCGTCAGCTGAATCGAATCCGGACCGTTACGATACAACGCATGCGTCATAACCCTGAACCATCGGGCCTCGGTGATGAAGAAGACGGTGACTACCCCCCCAAAAAAAAAAA